TACACAGCACTTGGGGGAGTGTATCAAACCTCTCCAGGTGATCAGGATATGACTCTGTCTCTCTCTTCCATGTCCACACTCTGTTCCCCTCAGAAAGATGGAGGTATTTGTTTGCTGTGTTGGGGTCCAGAGTGAGCCGACAGGAATCTGATGGAGGAGAAGATCAGAAGGTGATGTTTTAGTCTCATTCACTCCTTACGTTAAACAGGAATGCACGCTTTTTTGGTATGTTTTAATGCTTTGAAAAATAAAAATAAAAAAACGTATGTTTACCCATTCATGTTTATACTGTCATATTCTCAACATGGACATCTCAGAGAACAAAATGAAATTAAAATTAAATTAAACATCAGCAGTCACATTGGAAACAGATTTAAAGGCTCCTGACATAAACAGCTCATGTAAATGTGAAAGACCAGGAGGCAGCGGGAGAGAGAAAGAGAAGCTCCCCTAGCAGAAGAAAACGAAACACAATAAAACACACTCCACCTCATATAGGGAGAGAGAAGCGTGTGTGTGAACAGACTCACATTGTAAGAATTCTGCTCTGGTCCTGGGCACTAATACTGGTAGGATGGCGTCTTTGGCAACTAGAAGAGACAGAGAGAAACAGGGATGTGAGTAAAAGGAATTTACTTGTGGGAGATGGACTTCACTCACTGTGTAGACATCAGAACTAGGGTATTATCATTATGAGGGCAATTTAAAAATGTAATAATCATTCTGAGTAAAACACAATACAGGATTTTGAATTGCATCATTTTGTAGAAACATGATTCCTACTATTTAAAAAGTTTTCTGAAAGATTCAATCTCATTAGAAACAGAAACTGACTTGATCACACAAATGTGAAGCTGGCTGTACTGCATACTCTGTCTGCATGGTCTGTACTGAACATGGACAGAGTGGAAAATATATTCATTTACCTGTGTGATTTATCTCTGTTGTTTTCTTTTTGCAAACATTCTCCAGTTGATCCTTCAGTTCAGAAACCACCTGCTTCACATTCTCAAACGAACAGCGTGGACTGACGGAGATTCCAGATCGAAATGAAGCTTCAGGGGTGACAGTCAGACCCTGGCACCTCTACAGACACACAGACTGATTAAACAGCTTCATAAAAACAAATCTGTATTGTAATCTAAAAGGAACATTAATGTCTGACAAATGACAAACTAGTTGAGATATAAATGAAAATGTACATCCATTTGAATACTTTTTCAAATTTCTTATTGCCAAAGTAGCTGTTCTGTTACCTGGAGGACATGGATGTGATCCTCTGTGTGTGAAAGCT